CAAACACGTGTGAAGTGCTGGTGACAAGACTCGTTTGACACGGTTTGCATGTGTCTCTCAGTTTAGCCAGAGCCACGCTTGTGTTGATTCCTCTGCTCGGGGTCCACGAGATCGTCTTCACGTTAATTATAGATGAATCGGTCGAGGGAAGCAACCGCTACGCCCGAAACGTCGTCCATCTGACCCTGAGCTCTTTCCAGGTGACAAAACTGCTTGTTTTTCCCTTGCCGACTGGTACACTGAAAAAAAACATGGTGTAGAAACAATGTTCTCTTAGAAATGTGAAATTTTTCAAAACTGAAATAGTGCTTTCTTGTAAAATGTACTCCAATGATCTTTACTTAATGTACAACTTTGAAACATTTTTTACAGGGTTTTTTTTGCCTCACCAAATCCTCTAACTGTGAGCTTTTTTTGTTCAACAGGGTCTTTTAGTTGCAGTGCTGTACTGCTTTGCAAATGGAGAGGTACGTTTGGTGACGACATTTGAACTTTAACCCTCATAATGCATTTACAATCTCTATACTTTTTTCTCATTCTGGGTCCGTTTGGACCTCACCTGAAGAATTATTTTATAAAACAGTCATAACTTTCACATAAAACCTTATTGTATCTGATCAGCAGCTTCTCGTTAATGAGTGAATGTGAAAAAAAATCATCTTTTATTCTTTTCATTCTTATAATCATCTTTTTATTACTGCATTTAACCATTTTTTAGTAATAAGAAAAGTGAGACATTTCAAATTCCACATGAACCACACCAAAAAAAATTATGATGCTAAATGTTTTTTGTTTTTTTTCCAATATTGATGAGAAATTTGATTTGAATATATAATTGTATAGAATTTATAAGGTCATATAATCTGAGAATTACTGGTATTAACCCCATTGGAACAAATAGAAATTAATTAAGTTCTGTTGAATTTCTAACTCATGATTGCTCAAATACGGTCCAAATTTATGAAACCTACAGATTTATTTCTAATAAAACAGCATCAAAACAACATAAATATTAATCTGAAAAGTTTTCAAACAAAATCAATTCATTTTACTTGCATAAACGTTCACTTTCATATGAAAACAACCAGCAATTTTTCATGCTGCAGTGGTTTGTTAATATACGAACATATTTATGCTCATCAATAAAATGCAGTCCAAATGTGTGTGAGGTATGGAGAAAAGCTAAAGATACTTTACAAACCTTTTTGACACAATACAACTTCATATACGTATAATTTTACATAAAATATTTTTGACACTAATGGTGCTCCATACAAACCCGGGTCAAAAATGACCCGAACAAGAAACATGTAACACTTTTATTTCATAAATGGTTATATGTGTCTTCAAAAACAATTGTAAACAATCTGAAAAACATATGTGTATTTTAAGGGTCTTAAAGCATTTGCAAAGTCTAATTCCGTTAAACAATGCATTTTTAATCAATTCGGTTAATGCATCTATTCTGGGTCAAAACAGACCCCAATGTGTTATGAGGGTCATGTGTGAGAATGTCTTTCAACATAGACCTAACTTTGGAAACGTGTCCTTTAGGTCCAGGCTGAGCTGAAGAAGAGGTGGCAGCTGTTCGTTTCCTCCAATCACTTCGAGGCGCACAACTGTTTCGCCGACATTCACCCCAAACACCTGTGGAAGAGCTCGCAGAAGAGACCTGGACAAACCACAGAGCAGAGCGAATCCAATGAGGAGGGAAGCCACGCCCCCACACAGGGACATCAGCTGCAGGTGGCCGTCCAATCAGCAGAGGACTTGGCGTGTGGGCGGAGCTCCGGCCTGGAGTTTTACATGAGGAGGAGCCTCTCCAGCAGCGACGGGGACATGACTTTAGGAGAGACCATGGAGGAGATCACAGAGGAGAGCGAGTTTTAACGTCTTCTCACTCCTCATTCTGTCAGCAGCCCCTGCTTCTGATTTATTTTTCTATACATATGTAGTTAAGGATGTATATAGACACTTTAACCACTGTAAATGATGTTTTTGATAGCTGATTTTTGTATGTGTATATGATGCAAGGTGTTTGAAAGGAGCTGCACAAGCTACGCTTTGAAATGCTCAACTTTGAGTCGCTAATTAAACATTAGTTCACTGAAGACTCTGTTAAAATGACACTGAACTAAACTAGAGTGGTGAAAACAGGGATGGACTGTGATTGGAAACAGCTCAGGGATGATGATGCTCTAATACCATATATTTGAGCAGCTTGATTATGTAGATCAACTGCTTTTGCTTCAGAACCAAGATTTTACATCAGACATCAGGTGGAGATTCAAAATAGAACCAAAACTGTTGTACAAAAGCGGCAGAAATATCTTGAAATTCAGTGATGTTGCCATAGATCCAACAATATGCTAAATTGGTAGATACTATTGTTAAATGCAATTTATTATATGAATTAAGTTTTGTATTTTTTCCTGCATTTTTATGTCAAAACACAGCAGTTTTAACTTACACATTGATTTGCATCTTGATTGTTTGGTGCATCTTGATCATTTTGATGTTTAAAATAATAATTTTTACATTGCAAATGCAGTGCAATTAAATTAAACCAACAATTAGCAACACATTTCTCCCTAAACATTGTATGGCATCTACATTCGGTCAAGCGGCACGTTGGAAGTTTATGCATGCATGCTAGTAATAATAGAACGCTGCTCAATGTGAAACACATGTAGTACTTGTCGAATACTGAAATGAAACGGTTTGCTTGACTAGTGCTTTATTCATGAGCAAATGAGTGTGAAGCAAAATTGTGGATTATTTACATCATTTGCATGTGGTTTGTCCATAACTCCCTTGTCGAATACTGAAATGAAACGGTTTGCTTGACTAGTGCTTTATTCATGAGCAAATGAGTGTGAAGCAAAGTTGTGGATTATTTACATCATTTGCATGTGGTTTGTCCATAACTCCTTGAATGAACTCGCCCTCTGTTATTTTACCTGATGATACAGAGAAAATGCATTCTTCAAACCTCAATAAAGCCTATTCAGTTAAAGGTTTCAATATTGTGTATCTTTGTCAAGAATAAAACTCACCGTTTTCTTTTTTTCCCAAATTGTATCTGTTGGTTTTTCAGGAGCATTCTCGTCATCCTGAAGGTTTTTCCGGTCTTCTTTGGAGATCATGATGAATATTGACTGCGAAGAGGAGCAGAGAGACTATAAATGTACCGATGACAGTACATTACAATCAGTGCGGGGTAGTAACGGATTACATGTAATCTGGATTACTCTCTTAAACGTTCCTTTCTAAAAGAAAAATCTTCCGCTTATATACATTTGGAAAGCCTTCCAGTTTTAGGCAGCTGCATGCACCGGCGAGTTTCCTACAAGTTACATCAAAAGTAATCTAAAAGTAGTCAGAATGCGTAATCCAATAAATTACATTACAAACTACAATTTCCGTCGTGCAATCTGTAATCAGTAACAGACGACACTTTGTGACCCTGGAGCAGTCTTAAATCTCGAATGTGTGGAAGTTTCAGCAAGATCACTATCTCTCCTCGGTCTTTAAAAACGACTGACATTAATTTAGTGATCAAATTTAACACTCTTATGATCATATTTTGTAATGATCATTCAAATCTGACTAATTTTCCAATTTTTTGTCATAATCAGCATCTCAGAAAAATGTTATGGGGTTTCAAATCAGAATATGACTTTCTGTTATGAAACAGGACATTGATTTCATTAATGTCCACTGTAGAGTACTGTAGAGAAATTATATTTCAACATTCCTATGAAATATTAGATATTATTATGAAAATCCTGCCAATTATTACTCCCATTGTTACACTTCTTTTTTCATCACATGTTGCCCCAAGAACACATTAAAATGCAAATTAGATACAGTGTATAGATACATAGTATATCATTGTAAAACCCATTTATGGCAATTTTACACACATACTGCATAAAGCAAAATGGTATATCAAATCATTCTGTTATATCTTGAGAATCATCTTTATACAAAGTTTGGTATTAAAAAAATCTATTGTTTTTGCCTATTCATGTTCATTCATTTCTTTTTATTTTAGCCCTGGTGTACTCTACAGAGGACATAGCATAACATATAAATAAAATATAATTTTTTCAACATTTTATTTTTTTTCTTATGCTCTAAACAATGTGATGACATGAAAAAATACCAAACGTTTTTTTTTCTGTCTCAGGAGGATACTATATTTATAACTGAAATGTTACAGTATTTAATTATATATTATAATATTTATTATAAAATCAACACATGCACAAAAACGTGAATAATACTCAGATTAAATCACAATATGGCAGCATGCTGTTACAAAACCAATTAATCTCGATGTTTGCCTACATGTGCATTTATCAAGAGCCATATTTTGCAGTGAATCGGAGATTGAGAACTGATACCAATTATTTTTGGTTTAAATATTGAAGAATAATTATTCAATACTTGAATTTTATGCTATTTTGCACAGTGCATACAAATTTAAATAATAATAATGATCAATATATAATGTTAATTATAACTTTATATGTACAGTATGTGTGTGTGTGTGCATTTTATATGTAAATATTATAAATAACATGTTATAATTAACATTGTATATTATGTATATAATGTTAATATATCACATATATAAAATATATTTTTTTGCACAGTGGTAACTAATTTATTAATGAATATATTTTAGAATAATAATTTATAAATTAAAACATGTATAAATGTTATAATATTTGATTTTAATTATATATTATTTTCAATTATAAAACGCACAAAAACGTGAATAATAATGCATTTGTCACAGAAATGTTAGAAGACACATGAGGCTCGCGCGCGGAGAGTGCTGATGCGCTGCTATAATCGATTCGCAGATGTCAATCACGCGGATGGGGGCGGGTCGATGAAGCCACGCCTCCAGTAGAGAGAAGATCATCTGAGATGTGGATTCTAGCGAGAAGCGCCAGTGCGGTTGATTATAAAGCATCATCTTCATCATGATGTCTGAGCGCATCGGCTTCATCACACGCCTGCCATCGCTTACACAGGTACTAAACCACAACTAACTAACCAGGGTTTGCCTTATAACCTCCACTAACGCGGTTTGCAGTCGATAGTGTGTCTGGTGAACGCTGTTTATTAATGTTTTTCTAGTTGAAGTGACAGTTCGTGGAAAGGTACGCAGAACTATGTTAGATCACAAAGTGCAGATTTTGATACTGAAGAATCTGGTGTATTGTGAAATTGTAATATTTGTTGGCTACATGTATAAAAATGCTGATTTGTTTTGACAGATTGATAAGAACACAGGGATGGTCATGAACCTCACTGATCTGAAACAATTTATTGAGGTACAGCTGTCCCTACACTGTCTAATGTGTACTTAACAATAACTAAAAATAAAAAATGAAATACATTAAATGTAATATATATTAAAGTTAATATAACATGAATACTAATTTTATGTAAGTTAAAATCAACTTATTTTAAGTCACTGTCAAATTTGTTCTTTGTATTATTCATTTGTATTCAACATTTTTTTAATTGTTTTTTTTTAGCTATAAATAAATTATAGAAATTGATACTTTTATTTAGCAAGGATGCTTTAAATTGATGATAAAGACATTTATAATGTTACTGTACAAAATATTTATATTTCAGATAAATGCTGTTATTTTGAACTTTCTGTTCATCAAAGAAACCTGAAAAAATT